TCCACAGTGTGTTTTTTATGACATTCACAAGGTTTGAAGGCTTGGGAAATTTTATATTAAAAACTAGAGTCTGTGTCATCTCAAAACTGGGAAGATCAGGCCATCTAGTTGCTGTAGTCTTCCATTATGTCCTGTATTACAGTATCTGACATGAATCTGCTGCCTCCACGACAGTTCTGATTTTACCTCCCATTGTCTACCCAGCATACTCATTTCTGTTATCTCCCTTGTAGACATCTGAGTTTGCAACCCTTGGTATGCTGGTGGCATTGAACAAATGATTACACATCTACTAATAAGCTTGGCTGATAATGACTAGCAATAATTTATGTTTTATAACAGAATGAGGCTGGAGGTATAGTTTAGCCTTAGAGCATGCACTTAGCCTGCATAGGCCCTGGCTTCCATCCAAAAAAGAGGAAGAGGAAGAGGAAGAGGAGGCAGAAGAAGAGGAAGAGGAAGAAGAGGAGGAAGAGGAAGAAAAGGAGGAGGAGGAAGAGGAAGTGGTGGTGGTAATGCATACTGCAATGATATTCCTGGGCCTGGGATTTAGCTCAGTGGTGGCGCCATCTGCCGCATGATGATATTCCTTACATCTGTGTGCTTGTGTAATCATGAACCTGTTGGTCAGAGATGGTCTAATTCTGTCTTATTATTTAGCACATTATATTAATAGTAGTAACATTTGATGTTGTAGAGTGATTCAGCTAGATTTCTATTCCACTTTGCATGTTTTCCCTCTGAGTCAGCATTACCTAGATGCTAGCGCTGACCAAAATAAGATCACGCATTTTCAACCCCAAAATACTGAGTGATTAAAAAATTTCTTAATGTCGATTGCGTATATAGGTCACGTATTAGCCAAGTCTGTAGTTCTGTGATGTATGTGCAGCTGCTTCAGAACCAGAGGGAGAAATGCAATGGCATTTTCTCAGTTGTGCAAGCATCATTATGTTATAATGAATAGATAATATTAAATTGGGCTGATGAGTCATATTACAGTAATCCAATATTTCCCTTGTAGAGTCCCCAAGGTTTACACAAGGAAATCTTTACTAATAACAAGAAAAGTGATTCTGAGGCATGTGCTTCTTAGTGCGTTGGTCTTTGTTTACCAGTTGTATCATCTGGTTGAGGACCTTAGGTTTTTGTTTGTTTGTTTTGTTTTGAATCCAGGGAGTGCTGAGTGACACCTTAGCCCCTACCACCCACTTTCTTTTTCAAAAAATTTATTTTTAGATAGGATCTTTCTAAGTTACCCATGGTAGCCTCCAACTTGAGATCCTCCTGCCCCGGGCTCCCACATGGCAGGGATTACAAGTGTATACTGAGCCGGAAAATGATTTTTGAGCAAAAAAGGTTTCTCCTACCACTAGCTGACCTAACTAACTGACAAAGAGCCACCCCAACTCATACCCCCTCCCACACCTAACACATGTCCTCTTTTACTGTCCTTTGTTCTCAGGAAGTGTCTGTATCCAGTGTACTTTTCTATCAAATCATGTATCAAATCATCAATAAATGTAACTTCCTCAACCAATGAACTGATGATAAATGCCTTGCTTCTGTATCCCCACCCGCCTTCCCTTAATCCATATAAACCCTGTTCACTGCCAGCTCTGGGCTGATCGCTTTGTGGAGAAATCCCCGATCAGTCCACCCACATAATAAACTTGCCTCCAACCTCAGGGTGCATTCTCGATTCTTCTTGGCCTGATCTTGCCACACCACTAAGAGAGGCCACACCGTGGACTGTAAGTCTGCTGTTATAATGCAGTTTAGGAGTTTAACTTTTCTCAGCCTCAATTTTGTCAGGATAAAATAAAATAAAATATGTGAAAGCTTGAAGGACAGTGCCTGGCACATAATAGGACCAATTATAGTACAAATGTCCCTGGTGGTTGGTTCTAGGATGACTCCCCCATAGATAACAAAATCCAAAAATGCCCAACATCCTTTTATAAAATGGTGTAATGTTTGGATATAACCCATGGATATCCTCCTATATACATTAATCATGTCCAGATTAATTATACTATCCAATACAGTATACATGCTAAATAATTATTATACTTTCTTGTTGAGGGAATAATAAAAGCCTGTGCATGTTCAGTACAGATGCAATTCTTTTTGGAATAGTTTCCACCTTCTGTTGGCTGAATCTATGAACGTAGACCCTGTGCATACAAAATACTGACTGTATCTTCTTAATAGAGACTGATTCTTAAGATCCACAAAATGAAAACTTCACTCTTGTTATTTATTTGTCTATCTAGTATGGAACACTTATATTGCATTTCCAGAGGCTATTTCTTAAATAGTTTTAAGGTAGGAGGAAGAAAAAGACAGTTTTGTTCTTTTCTGCTCTCAGGCAAAATAGACCATGCCATTTTACACAACAATTTTTTTTTCTGAATTGGCTGAAAATTATAGCAGATTCCTAAAATATGTACTGGAATATACCCCAATTTTTAGCCCTAGGCTATAATTTAGCTACATCCAGATTATTTATTGTATTATTGTTGTTTTCATATTAGCTGAAGCCATGCAGTCCTCTTGCTGTTGTTGAAAGAAGTATCAAAACCTTGTCACTTTTTATTTCAATCACCAGCAAATGAACACTTAAGCCATTTCAGGTGCCGTGCTTGGCAGCAGTGACTCCCAAGTGAATAAGACCAAGCAGGTGCTCTCCAGTTTCCTTATGATCTACTTGACAGACTTATAATTACAGCTCCTACTGACTGTGTGCCCATTATCTCTGGGCAAGGTCCCGTGCCACGCCCTTTACATAATGTAATTGATGTGGCATAGTGAGTAGCTGTTGGATGGCTTCCTGGCATCAGTTTCTCCACCCACTTCCATACTGCTCCCAGTTACTGTTTGGAGAGAATCTTCCTGAACCTGAGACTCTACCCTGGTCCCAAGGTGTGGAGCACATGACAAAAGTTAAGCCAATCAGTGCATTTCACAACCCTGGCTACAGTGATTGGTTCAGCAATGGTCAGGTGATCGACATGTGTCCAATTAGAGTGAATCTCTTAATTTGTGCTTGGGAAATGAGGACAAAGGTCACCTCTTATTTTCTGATTAGAGGCATTAATATAAATGTAAGGCTCAGAACTGTTGTAACCATGTTTGTTGCCATAAAAGTCATGGCGAATATCACTGAAAATACCTTAGAGAAACCCTGATGATTTCATAACTTATAGACCAGCCTGTGCCCAAAGTCTGATGTACTTCTGGACATTTCTATTGCAGGAACTGATGGTTTCCCTTTATTGTTTAAGCCACTGTAAGGTAGGTTTTTAGTTACTTGAAGGAAAGCTTTTTTTTTTTTTTTTTTTGAGACAGGGTCTTACTTTGTAGTTTAGGCTGGCCTTGAACTCATTATGTAGCCCAGGCTGGCCTCCAACTTGCAGCGATCCTCCTGCCTCAGCCTCCGAGTGCTGGGATGACAGGCATGGACCACCACACCTGGCTTGGAAAGCATCTTAAAGGGTTCACACAGCTCATCACTGTTTTTATAACTGAGAAACAAATGTCTTTGCTTTCATCATCAAGCCAATATGTGACAGAGCTGATGATTTGAGGTGATTTGTTGACTCCAAAATTCACACTCTGTGTATGATTGGGCTTCTGAGATTCCCAGTGCAGTATAATAAGAGGCATACAAAAGATGTAATAGTGCTACAAAAGAAGACATGATCAACTCACATTGTGTGTGTGTGTGTGTGTGTGTGTGTGTGTGTGTGTGTGTAAAGCTATTCCAGGAGAAGGAATAACATGTACTGAAGCATGGAGTAACTGGTATATGCCAAATAAAGGTTACATTTTATTTTACTTTATGCTTCTAAACATTTGCTGTGTTTGAGCTAGGTGTAATGACACTCATCTGTAATCCCAGCACTCAGGAGGCTGAGGCAAAAGGATTGCTGTGAGATCAAGGCCAGCCTGGGATATGTAGTGATCAAAGTCAGCCTGAACCATAAAGCGAGACCTTGTCTCCAAAAATAAATAAATGAATAAATATATAAACAAACAAACAAATTTACTGTGCTCTTAATCGGAAGGTCTTAATATCTCTGTAGGTCCTCAAAAGTAATAGAAGAGACCAAGAGTTACCTTCAAAAAGCTATTGTAAGGGCTGGGGATTTAGCTCAGTGGTTCTGCTGCCTGCCTCACAAGTGCAAAGTCCTGAGTTTGATCCCTGGTACCAAAAAAAAAAAAAAAAGCTATTGTAAAACAGAGTTGCACACATTAATTCAATCATTCCTTCTTTATGGCTGATGACAGGAGTATATCAATTCAGTGTGGCTGTGTATGATGCGTTCTCAATAAGTCTCATCACTTTTATACCTATATAGTCAATCCCTTCCTTTTTTGTTTTGTTTGTTTGCCTGTGATGGCATTCTGGGAATCAAGCCCAGGGCCTCGTGCACTAGGTAGTGCTTTGCCACTGAGCCACAGAACAACCTCAGGCCATCCTTCGGATTCCTTTGCCCTTGGTCGTTCCAGGCCCCCATAGTTTCTCATGCAGAAACTTATTACTCAAAGTGTGGTCCATGGAAGCAGCCTCAGCATCACTTGGAAACATCCAAGAATCTCAGGCTCCTGCCCCAGACCACCTAGAGCAGAAAGTACATTTTAACACATTAAAATTTGAGAAACTAGGCTGGGGATTTAGCTCAGTGGTGCCGCTGCCTGTCTCGCAGAGCGCAAGATCCCAAGTTCGATCCCCGGTACAAAACAAAAAAAATTTTTTTTTTGAGAAACACTGGTGTATTTTCCCATTGGAATCTTCCAGCTGATCCCCCTGCCTCTAGTTTTAGTCTACTTCCATCCTCCCCTGTACCATCTCTGATCTTTCAGATGCACCGTCCCCATCTTACTTAAAATCCTCTAGTAGTTCCCTGAGGCCTTTGGATAATCTTCAAACTCCTTAGATCAAAAGGCAAGTATTTCCACCTGGCAGCCCACCTCTGCTGGCCCTTGATATGTACCTATTCTGCACTTCACTGCAGGGTAGCTCAGGGGTTGGGCACATGGGCCTTTGTGTCGTACAGGCTTGCTTGAATACCCAGCTCCAGCTGCAGTGTGACTGTGGCAGTGTCACTAGATCTCACTGGGGCTGTGTCTTCATCTGTGATAGCAAAACAAAACACTGGGGTAAAGGAAGGATAATGGAAATTATCTCATAGGCTTGTCATGTGCACAGTGCCTGGCAAAGAACAAAATCTAAATGAAACAGCCATTATCACCGCACTTCTCAAAGCCATCAGATTCATACATTTGTGCCTTTCCACCTGCTATACCAGCTGCCAGGAAACCTTTTACCTGAGAAACTCCTATTCATCCCTCAGAACCTAGCTCAGATATCACCTCCTCTAGGAGGCCTAACTGTCACCCTCATCTAAATCAGTGCTTCTTGGCATTTGTTACCCCTACCACAGCACTTTTCACAGACACTGTATTGTTATATGCATCTTTGATGACTCAAATGGGGGAAATCAGGTATTAATAGTCTTATATTAATAAATACAGCTTATTCATAGACAGAGTCTAGCAAAATAGGGCATCCCCAGAGAAATAAATATAAGAAATCCTTGGAAGAAACCTTTACATGCCTTCTCATGAGGATTTCCCTGTGTGTTTTGTAGAATATGGAGCTAAGGATTTAGTAGCTGTCATCTAAGAAGAGGGCTCTCTGTTCAAAGAAGTGTGGGGGACACAGAGCTGAGCAAGGCTCAAAGCTTCTAAGATGTTAATATTTGTAACAGATCCTCAGGGGGGATCACTGCGCAGTGACCCCTACATCAGCCCGCAGCTCCTAAGTAACGCGATTTGCATGGGTCAGCTGTGACACCCAGCACAGTCTCTGGACAGTCCAGATGATCACAATATCTGTGGAAGAGCCCATTGGCTTAAAATGAAAATTTCATTGTCTAAGGGAGACAGATTTGGAACCCAAGTTAGTTCAATGGTAGCAGGGAGTACGGGATAGATTATAAGTAAATTTAAATTTACCTATGCAATATCATCGAGATCTGTAAGTCAAAATACTAATTTCCTGGTTTGAACAGCTGGTTGAAACAGAGGTGCTAAATACAGAAGTTGGTGGGAAATACAGAAGTTGGTTTCAGAGGAAAGACACTACACTTGAGGTATTTCTGGGACAGTCATTCAAGTGGAGCTGTACAATATCTGGATACATATCTATATCCACATCTGGAGATGTAGATTTGGACTTGGACTTCTTTTTTTTTTGGTAAAAAGAGCTGAGCTAAATCCCCGGGCCAATTTGGCTTCACTTTTTCTAGGTAAAAGGTGTTGAATTCTGGCTATCACCTATGGATCAACTCAATATACAAGAGTAGTAGCTGGTAGCTAGCTCAAAGTCTGTGTGGGTTACCTTTTGCTATTTTTGAATATGCTCAATGATAAGAGTGGCTCTTTCAAAGCAATACTGATAGGTCTAACCTTTAGTGACTCCACAAAAACAGTTTTTGACATTATTTTCAACATAAAGGATCCTATACAAAAGGAACGCATTATACATTTTTGGATTAGACAAGTCTTCTTGTCAGAAAATTATAATGGTCGAACTTTCGTTACACATAATATAAAGTATACCAACATTTTTATAGGATACCACAATCTTACTATATTGTATTCTGCTTTACATTTCAAAGTAGCTTTATGTACATTAATTGCTTTCATAATTTTTAAAAGAAGATATCCTTATAAAAATACTGAGATTCAAAAAGATAGTGGTCAAGGTCATATGGCATTGTCCGGTAAAAGAACACAAACTGACTGAAATTCACAGAAAAACATCTAATATATGATGGGCATACTATATGTTTAAAATAAAATTTTGATCTCTATGAGCTCTAAAGTTATCATGAACCAACATTCTGTATATTAAAATATATAAATATATAACTAAATAGAGCTGGTAGTCATTAGAAATACTAAAAGGTATTACACAGAAGACTTACAGCAGTGGAAGGGACGTTTCCTCTTCTTACATGTGGCCAGAACTTCAGCATTATATGTCCACCCTGGTGATGTTGAGGTATGATGTCATAAAGAGATTGTGAAGTACAAAATTTAAAGGGCAACACAGAGCAGTTACATTTTAGTGTGGATGTGTTTATGTTGTAAAATCTTGTTCTGAGAGATTCTGGCAATTATTTTTTGGCTTAACTGATAAGAGTAATTATTTATTTTATGTCACCCTATTTTTACATGAGTTTTTGGTGCGTATGTTTGTCCACAGGTATGTGTACATGTATGGGCCTTGGTGAATGTGAAAATTTATGAGATATAAGGAAACTAGAATACTATAAATAGCTCCCTTACAAAGAACAGCTTTCATCCAGTACGTTTTCTTCACATTCAGGCTTTTCCCCTAAAATATTGCATATGTTTTTAGTAATATTTTCCCAAGATCATTTGAATGTGTCATATTGTCTGATATGTAAATTGAATAAAGCAAAAGTGTCTATTAAACTAATATTTAGATTTATTATCTAGCTATATATAGTTATATAAAGTTATAGAGACAGAGCTGAGCTAGAACAAATTATCAAATTCTGCCTGGCTGGAATTTGTAAAAGTGAATATTTTCATTGTGGAAAGGAAAACTCTTCTGGCAGATAGACAGCAATTTTTCTTTATATGTGTACCATGTGACCTCTCACAGTGCAACTTTCAGACCCCAGAAGAAATAAATCATTAGAATTCATTCGTTAATGTCACTGAGATTTTATCACATTTTAAATTGAAAAGTACTACACTCTTTTAAACTCAAATCTCATTGAATAATTTTTCTAGCATATGTTTTATTTTATGATATATATATATATGACATGATAATTTATAATTTTAGTAAAGAAATACTTTCAAATTTCTAAGCACAGGTTTTGGCAATCAAAATTTTATCATTTCCTTATTTCTTGATTCCCAAAATAGCCTACTCAGCAAAACCCTGAAAGAGTTCTATGGATTTCCTATGAGTAGCGGTGTGAGAAATAAATACGGTTTCCTTGGCTTTGCTTTTTACCAGATGATGTTATTTAAAATGTGCCCAATAATCTAGATGGAAGTATCCCATATTCACCTTATTTCCTGTGTACATATCTACTTTAATTTCTCCTTACCCAGTTTCTTCTGAAACAAATCTTTGAAAGCATTTAGTATGCCTTTCTGAAAGCCAACTGTCTTTGTTTTATCTTGCATATCATTCAATATTTTAAAGAAAGTTTTAATGGACACAAAATGTTTGGATATGTTTATAGAATACAAAATAATAATGTGCTATATGCATACAATATATAACAACAAATCAGAGTAATTAGCATTTCTATTCTTCATATATTTATCATTTCTACGTGATATGATACTTGAGCTTATCTTTTAGTTGTTTTTAACAGATAATAAAATATTTAGTCTAGAGTTCTAACCACAACACAACTGACATAACTATTCCTCGCAATGTAAATGTATTGTATACCCAGTCTCCAACCACTCTTAATTTTTCTGACTTCTTATTTTATATTGAACTTTATTCTCCTCTTTACTTCTATAGGATCAAACTTTCATCTTTGCTCCCACAAATGAGTAAGAACCTGTAGTATTTTCATTTTTCTTACATCATTGAACGTGGCCTTATTTGGAAAGAGTGTCTTTAAATCTTGAAAAATGTAATCAATTTAAAATGAGGTCATGGGCCGGGGATTTAGCTCAGTGGTTCTGCCGCCTGCCTTGCAAGCAGAAAGGCCCGAGTTCGATCGCCAGTACCAAAAAAAATAAAGACATAAATAAATAAATATATAATCAAATAAAATGTTGTGATACTTGCCTTATGTTATATCTTCATCCAATTAGCGGTGCTTTATAAGGAAAGGGAAATTTGAATACAGACACAGACTAAGAGAGAATGAGGCAGAGATTGGAATGATGAATCCATAAGCCAAATGATAAGAATTGCAAGAAACTGCCAGAAGATATGATTGAGAGTCATATAGCATATACTTCTCTGAGGCTCCAGAGGAAAACAATTCTTTTGAAAACTTGATTTTGGATTTCTATTCTCTGTAACTCTTTTCTAATATACCTACAGGTTTTTAACCCTCCCAGTTGGTCATTGTAGTTGATGGAACTAATGTGCCCAATTATGAGAATTAAACTAAGATAGCAAAAAGAAGAGAACATATGTTCTAAAAGGAAGGAAGGCATGCAATAAGGGTAAGTATACACCTAGACTATTGTATTCACTTGTGAGAATACTCATTTTTTCATATTTGTTTTTCTGAGGTGGGAATAGGAGAAATTAGAAAATATTTTGGATTTGAGGACAGCGGAAAAAGCATGAATCCTCATGTTTGATAATAAAAGAATATTCAACAGACTTGATAAATGTAATGCTATTTCCATATAGCATTAAGAGACCATGCTTATCTTCTGAGATTTAATCTAAAGCTAACTGTCTTGGTCACATATTTTCCCCAAGACTCTTTGACTCTTTTGTTTTGTTTTGTTTTTTGTCTTTTTTTTTTTTTTTTTTGGTCCTTGGTTTCAAATTCGGGTCCTTGTGCTTGCGCAGCAGGCAGCGAAACCACTGAGCTAAATCCCCGCCCCTCCCCAAGACTCTTCTTGTATAATTGTGTCGATTAACTGGAGATTTAGATTTATTTAATGGTCTTTTAAAATCAGCATAGATGTCAAAATGAACATTGTACAACAGGAAATGAGAAATAATATGAGAATAATTTTGCTGATACATCATGAATCTTTCAGAATCCAATATAAAATAAAACTGCAGCAATGCCATGGATAAGGGATTCCTATGACAATGAAAAGTAGTTGAATTCACTATTTGTCTTAGAGGTTTAGGAGAGTGGAAAATATGTTGGAGTAGTGCTGCAAAACATACCTGAATAGTGGCTTAAATAGTGAACATTTTGAAATTGAGGTTTTGGAGAGGTGTATATTTAAATTATCTACTAAAGTTGGAGTAAAACTGAAAAGGAGATCACAGATTTTAAATGTTCGATATAAAAATGATCACCCATATTGTAAAGTCATCAGGAATTAAGACAAGTGTCCTGTTGAATGAAAAGCGAGTGGGACAAATGGAAAATAATAGCAGATTAAAGTTACCAGAGAATTAGTTATATGATAAAACAAGGAAAATTAATAGGTGATATAATCTAATGACAGAAGATTAAAAGGTGAGTTATTTTATGAAAGTTGGGCAGGAAAAGGACCCAGAAGTGGCCACTGAGGAAAAAACTCCAACAGCTATTGCACTTCTAGGTCTAGTAGGAGGAGGGAATGTGGGAAGGAAAACAGCACTTGACCTAGAAGGCTAAAAAAGCAGTATACTTTGTGATAGAGCAGGATTTTAGATAGGGCAAGAAGATAGGACTATTGTTCAGATGGGGGCAGAGAAAGACACAGAGGGTTTTCCTGAAGACACTGACTGTCAAAGAGTTGCCATGCAATGGTGACATCACCCTGAGGCCTTTGTGGTGCAAGATATAGGCAGTATCAAACTAGAAATGCCTTCATAAAAACGTTAGTGATTTGAGAAGCTCATTTTGGGACCTGAGTTGTAATTTATAGATAAAACGCATTCTTTTACTTTCAAACTACTGTATATTTAATGTTGTGTTTTGAAAAGTAACATGTACTCATTGATAACAGCACAAAAAAAATCACACTAATATTTTTGAACAAATATTTTAAAATTTGCATTGCAGAATAAAATCATTTCTAAATTTTCCTTCTAATTTTGAGGTAATGTGCATTCTCATTTGTCTTATAAATCAACAGTTTATGTCATTCAGCTATTTCCATGGAACATTAATTTTATTTTCTTATTCACTTTTACAATTTTATATTTGGCAATATGATAATTAATGGGACCGGTGATTTAGCTCAGTGGTTCTAGCGCCTGTCTCACAAGCGCAAGTTCTCAAGGTTGATCCCTGTCACCTGAAAAAAAAAAGAAAAAAGAACTGATAAATATTGTTCACTTTTTGTAGGTAAAATATGTTGAATTCTGGCAATCCCCTATGGATCAACTCAATATACATAAGTATTAGCTCATAGCTAGTTGAAAGTCCATATGGTTATATTATGCTCTTTTTAAATATTTTCAATGATAAGAGTGGCTCTTAAAAAGCAATACTAAAAGGTATAACTACTAATGACTCCAAAAATACAGTTGTTGAAATTATTTTCAACATAAAGTATCCTGTATAAAAAGAATCCTTTATACATTTTTTGATTAGACAATCTTCTTGTCAGAGAAATATAATGGTCTAACTTTTGTTAAACATAAAATTAAGTATACCAATATTTTTATAGTATACCATATTGTATTCTGCTTTACTTTTCAAAGTAGCTTTATGTACATTAATTTCTTTCATAATTTCTAAAAGAAGGTATCTTTATAAAAATACTGAGATTTCAAATCATAATTGTCAAGGTCATATGGTGGTATATGGTAAAAGAACATGAACTGACTGAAATTCAAAGATAAACACCTAATATATGATGGACATTTTATGTGTTGAAAGTAAAATTTTGATCTATAAAATTATCATGAACCAACACTCTATGGCTGTTCCCAGCTAATGGAATGCTTCTAAAATGGATCAGAAATACACAAAAACTGCCTTTGTGTTCAATCTGCCATAATACATCATATGCCACTTTGAGGATGCTGGCCTGACCCAAAGCAGCTCCCATAGTGAAGGCGGGTTCAGGACAACCTAACCGCCCTTCATATCTATTGTGGTGCATTTGAAATGGCTCAGAGCCATTCACAGGAATAAAGAGAATGTGTTCCATCCATTTTTCCTCATCTCCTGCAATCAGGGAACATTACAGGATTACACCATGCCACTGCCATGGGTGTGGCGGATTCCAGGCCAACGTAACACTGCTCCAGGATAAATGCATGTTCAAAAATGGCTTAGAACTACTCACAGAAAAACAGTGAATGCATTTGATGCACCTTACCACATTTCCTGCCACGGGGGTTGAAACTGGCCTGGCACAATCCTACTCATATAATGGTTGTGGATTTGGGCCACCAGACAGCCGCTCCCAGCTAATGGGATGCTTCCAAAATGTTTCAGAACCAATCACAGGAGAAAAAAGACTGTGTTCCATTCACCTTACCACATCTCCTGTCATGAGGGAATATTTTGGGATGGTACTACCCCACTCCAGAAGTGTAGGAAGATTTCAGGCCACTGTACGGCTGTTCCAAGCAAATTGGATGCTTCAGAAATGGCTCATAAAGAATTACAGATAAAAGATATTATTTACATTCATCCAGAACACATCTCCAGCCACGAGGAAGGATTCTGTCCTGGCACAACCACACTCCAGGAGTTGAGGCAGCATCAGGGCCAGTCAACAGCTTCTCACAGCAAATTTGATGCCTCTGAAATGGCACAGAACTGCTCACAACAAAGATGAGAATGCATGCGATCCACATAAACACATCTGCTCCCATGAGAGAATATTTTTGGATGGCACAATGCCATTCCCATGGAGGAATCAGCATGGTAGCCACTTTAAGGCTGCTCTCAGCTAATGGGATGCTTCCAAAATGGATCAGAAAAAATCACATGACAAAAGCCATTGCGTTCGATCTGCCATAACACATCTCCTGCCACATTGAGCATTCTGGCCTGGCACAACCCAGCTCCCGTAGTGGAAGCGGATTGTGCACCAACCTATGGCACTTCCAATCTAATGGGATGCATCTGAAATGGCTCAGAACCACTCACAGGAATAAGGCAAATGCATTCCATCCAATTTCCCTCATCTGATGAAATTCGGGAGTATTACAGGTTGGCACATTTCCACTCCCGTGGGGGTAGCGACATCCAGGCCAATATACCACCGCTACAAGGTAATGGGATGCTTACAAAATGACTCAGAACCAATCAAAAAAAAATAAAAGAGATTGAGTTTCAACCCCTTTCCACATCTCCTGAAATGGGGTAAAATTTTGGGATTGCATTTCCCTACTCCAGAAAAGGAGTCAGAGTCCTGGCCGATATACAGCTTCTCCCAGCTAATGGGATGCCTATGAAATGGCTCAGAACCAATCACAGGAAAAAACAGATTGCATTCCATCCACCTTACCTCATCTCCTGCCACTGGGGAATATTTTGGGATGGCACTACCCCACTCCAGAAGTGGAGGCAGCATTCAGGCCACTCTACAGCTGTTCCAAGCAAATGGAATGCTTTTGAAATGGCTCAGAAACAATCACAGAAAAAAAGAGACTACCTTTAATTTGCCAGAACACATCTCCAGTCATGGGGGAGGATTCTGGGCTGGCATAACCCAACTCCAGCAGCGGAGTCTCCTTCCGGGCTACTCTACGGCCTCTCCCAGCAAATTAGATGCCTCTGAAATGGATCAGAACTGCTCAAAAGAAAGATGAGAATGCGTGCGATCCTTCTAACATCATCTTCTGCCACAGGGGATATTTTTGAAAGGCACAATGCCATGCCTATAGTGGAGGCTGAATCCGAGCCAATCTATGGCTGCTCCCAACTAATGGGATGCTTCCAAAATGGGTCAGGAACTATCATATGAAAAAATCTATTGTATTACATCTGCCATAATATATCCTCTACAACATTGAGGAGTCTAGCCTGGCACCAGGCAGCTCCCATAGTAGAGGTGTATTCCGGGCCACCACAAGGCCCTTCAAATCTCATGGGGTGTTTTGAAATGGCTCACAACCATTCACAGGAGTAAAGAGAATGCAATCCATCAATTTTACCTGATCTCTGCAAATGGGGGAACATTACAGTTTAGCACAATGCCACTACTATAAGGGTGGCAGCTTCCAGGCCACTGAACCACTGCTGCAGGCTAATTGATTGCTTCAAAAACAGCTCAGAACCACTCAGAGGGAAAAAGAGAATGCGTTTGATGCCTTACCACATTTCCTGCCACAGGGGAAGATCCTGGCATGGCACAAAATTGGTCCTATAGAGGAGGTGTTTTTGGTCCACCAGCCAGCCTCTCTCAGCTAATGGGATGCTTCCAAAATGTCTCAGAATCAATCACAGGAAAAAAGAGATTGCATTCTATCCACCTTACCACATCTCTTGCCACAGGGGAATATTTTGGGATGGCACAACCCCACTCCAGAAATGGAGGTGGATTTCAGGCAACTGTATGGCTGTTCCAAGCAAAAGGGAAGCTTATGAAATGGATCAGAAACTATCACAGAAAAAAGAGATTTCCTATAGTTTGCTCAAACGCATCTCCAGCCACGGGTGGGGATTCTGGCCTGGCACAAACCCATTCCAGTTGTAGAGGCGGCTTTCTGTTTATTCTACGGCCTCTCCCAGCATATTGCATACCTCTGAAATAGCTCAGAACTCCTCAAAATAAAGAGGAGAATGCATTCAATACACCTAAACACATCTCCTGCCATGGGGGTTCATTTTGGGATGGCACAATGGCTCACACATAGAGGAGACCGCCTCCTAGACATACTGTGGCTGCTCTCAGCTAATAGGAAGCTTCCAAAATGGCTCAGAACCCATCACAGGAGAAAAGAGATTTTGTTCCATTCACCTTACCACATCTCCTGCCATGGGGGAATATTTTGGGATGGCACTACCCCATTCCAGAAGTGGAGGTGGATTTCAGGCCACTGTACGGCTGTTCCAAGCTAATGGGATGCTTTGGAAATGGCTCATAAAGACTCACAGTTAAAAGATATTGCATAATTTCATCTAGAACACACTTCCAGCCACAGGGGAGGATTCTGTCCTCCACAACCCCACTCCAGTAGTGGAGGCGGTTTCAGAGCTACTCATCGGCCTCTCCCAGCAACTTTGATGCCTCTGAAATGGCACAGAACTGCTCACAACAAAGATGAGAATGCATGTAGTCCACATAACCACATCTGCTGCCATGAGGGAATATTTTTGGATGGCACAATGCCACTCCCATGGAGGAATCATCATGGTAGCCACTTTATGGCTCCTCTCAGCTAATGGGATGCTTCCAAAATGGATCAGAAAAAATCACATGAAAAAAGCCATTGCATTCAATCTGCCATAACACATCTCCTGCCACATTGAGCATTCTGGCCTGGCTCAACCCAGCTCCCGTAGTGGAGACGGCTTCTGCGCCGCCCTATGGCACTTCCAATCTAATGGGAAGCATCTCAAATGGCTTAGAACCATTCACAGGAATAAGGAGAATGCATTCCGTCCAATTTCCCTCATCTGATGAAATTTGGGAGTATTACAGGTTGGCACATTTCCACTCCCATAGGGGTGGCGACATCCTGGCCAGCATACCACTGCTGCAAGCCAATGGGATGCTCACAAAATGGCTCAGAACCAATCACAGGAAAAAATAGATTGCATTCCATCCACCTTACCTCATCTCCTGCCACTGGGGAATATTTTGGGATGGCACTACCCCACTCCAGAAGTGGAGGCAGCATTCAGGCCACTCTACAGCTGTTCCAAGCAAATGGGATGCTTATGAAAAGGCTCAGAAACAATCACAGAAAAAAAGAGATTACCTTTAATATTTCAGAACACATCTCCAGCCACAGGGGAGGATTCTGGTCTGGCACAACCCATCTCCAGTAGTGGAGTAGGCTTCCCAGCAACTCTATGGCCTCTCCCAGCAAATTAGATGGCTCTGAAATGGGACAGAACTGCTCAAAAGAAAGAGGAGAATGCATGCAATCCTTCTAAACACATCTACCACGTTGAGGATTCTAGTCTGGCACCAGGCAGCTCCCATAGTAGAGGTGGATTCCGGGCCAACACAAGGCCCTTTAAATCTAATAGGGCGAATATTTTGGGATGGCACAACCCCACTCCAGAAATGGAGGTGGATTTCAGGCAACTGTATGGCTGTTCCAAGCAAATGCGAAGCTTATGAAATGGATCAGAAACTATCACAGAAAAAACAGATTACCTATAATTTCCTGGAACACATCTCCAGCCATGGGTGAGGATTCTGGCCTGGCTCAAACCAACTACAGTAGTAGAGGTGGCTTCCTGGTTATTCTACAGCCTCTCCCAGCATATTGGATGCCTCTGAAATGGCTCAGAACTGCTCAAAAGAAAGAGGAGAATGTGTGAAATCCACCTAATCACATCTCCTGCCATGGGGGTTTATTTTGAGATGGCACAATGGCTCACACATACAGGAGACCGCATCCTAGACATTCTATGGCTGCTCTCAGCTAATTGGAAGCTTCCAAAATGGCTCAGAACTAATCACAGGAAAAAAGAGATTGCAATCCATCCACCTTACCACATTTCCTGCCACAGGGGAATATTTTGTGATGGCACAACCCTACTATGGAAGTGGAGGTGGCATTCAGGCCACTGGATGGCTGTTCCAAGCAAATTTTATGCTTATGAAATGGCTGAGAAACAATCACACAATAATAGAGATTACTTATAATTTGCCAGAACACATCTCCAGCCACAGGGGAGAATTTTGGCCTGGTACAACCCCACTCAAGTACTGGAGGTGGCTTCTGGGCTACTCTACGGCCTCACCCAACAAATTGGATTTCTCAGAAATTGCTCAGAACTGCTCAAAGATGAGAATGTGTGCGATCCACCTACCACATCTGCCACTGGGGAATATTTTGGGATGACACAATGCCGTACTGATAGAGGAGGTGTTATCCTAGCCATGCTATGGATGCTCCCAGCTAAAAGGATGCTTCCAAATTGGATCAGGAAATATCACACGAAAAAAGCTACTGCCTTACATCTGTCATAATACATCTCCTACCACATTGAGGATTCTAGCGTGGCACAAGGCAGCTCCCATAATGGAGGTGGTATCCGGGATAAAATATGGCCATTCAAATCTAATGGGGGTGTTTTTGAAATGGCTCAGAACCATTCACAGGAATAAAGAGAATGCATTCCATACATCTTTCATCATCTCCTGCAATCGGGGAATATTACTGGATTCCATCATGCCAGTGCTGTAAGTGTGGGGGATTCTAGGCCAACTTACCTGTGCTCCCAGCTAATTGCTTGCTTCCAAAATGGCTTTTTATGACTCAGAGGAAAAAAGAGAATGCGTTCAATGCACCTTACCATATTTCCTGCCACGGGGAGGAACCTGGCCTGGCACAATCCTACTCCTATAGTGGAGGTGGCTTTGGGCCACCAGACAGCTGCTCCCAGCTAATGGGATGCTTCCAAAATGGCTCAGAACCAATCACAGGAGAAAAGAGATTGCATTCCATTCACCTTACCACATCTTCTGCCATGTGGGAACATTTTGGGATGGCACTACTCAACTTCAAAAGTGGAGGTGGGTTTCAGGCCACTTTGAGGCTGTTCCAAGCAAATGGGATGCTTCTGAAATTGCTGAGAAAGAATCACATAAAAAAGAGATTATGTATATTCTGCCAGAACACATCTCCAGCCATGGGGGAGGATTCTGGCCTGGCACAACCCCAATCCAGTAGTGGAGGCTTCTTAGGGGCCACTCAACGGCCTCTCCCAGCATATTGGGTGCCTCTGAAATGGCTCAGAACTGTTCAAAAGAAAGATGAGAATGTGTGCAATCCACCTAACCACACCTCTTGCCACAGAGGAATATTTTGGGATGGCACAATGCAGGGTCCATAGAGGAGGCCACATCCTAGCCACTTTATGGCTGCTCCCATCTAATTTGATGCCTCTGAAATGGCTCAGAACTGCTCACACCAAAGAAAAGAATGTGCCAAATCCACCTTTCCACATCTCCTCACACACTGGAATATTTTGGGATGGCACAATGCCGCTCCCATAGAGGAGGCTGCACCCTAGCCACTCTGGCTGCTCCCAGCTAATGGAATGCTTCTAAAATGGATCAGAAATACTCACTCGAAAACAGCCTTTGCATTCAATCTGACATAATACATCTAATGCCACTTTAAGTATTCTGGCCTGGCACAAAGCAGCTCCCATAGTGGAGGTGGAATGAAGGCAACATAATGACCCTTCAAATCTATTGGGCTGCTTTTGAAGTGGATCAGAAACATTCATAGGAAAAAAAGAGTATGCATTCCATCTAATTTACCTCATCTGCTGAGACTCAGGAATATTACAGGATGGCACAATACCACCCCCATAGGGGTGGTGGCTTTCTGACCCAGGTAGCACTTCTCCCTGGTAACTAGTTGCTTCTAAATGGCTCAGAACCACTCACAGGAGAAAAGAGAATGTGTTTGAGACAGTTTACCATATTTCCTACCACAGGGAAGGATCCTGGCATGGCATAACCCTGCTCCTATAGATGAGGTGGATTTAGGCCACATGATGGCTGCTCCCAGCTAATGAGATGCTTCCAAAATGGCTCAGAACCAATCCTATTAAAAAACAGATTGTGTTCCATCCACCTTACCATATCTCCTGCCACAGGCGAATATTGTGGGATGGCACTACCCCGTCCAGATGTTGAGGTGGCTTCCAGTCCAATGTACAGGTGTTCCAAGCAAATTTTATGCTTATGAAATGGCTCAGAAACAATCACAGAACAAAAGAGATTACCTATAATTTGCCAGAATACATCTATAAACAAGGGGGTGGATTCTGGCCTTTCACAACTGCAATCCAGTAGTGGAGGCGGCTTCCAGGCTACTCTACGGCCCCTCCCAGCAAATTGGATGACCCTGAAATAGCTCAAATTGCTAAAAAAAATGAGAATGCATGCCATCCACCTAAACATATCCCCTGCCACAGAGGAATATTTTGGCATGGCAAAATGCCCCATACCCATAGAGGAGGCCTTATCCTAGCCACACTATGGATGCTCCCAGCTAATGGGATGCTTCCAAAATGGATCAGGAAATATCACACGAAAATGCCACTGCCTTACATCTGTCAAAATACATCTACCTCATTGAGGATTCTGACCTGGCACAAGGGAGCTCCCATAATGGAGGTGGTATCCGGCCACCATATGGCCATTCAAATCTAATGAGGTGCTTTTGAAATGGCTCAGAACCATTCACAGGAATAAAGAGAATGTGTTCCACCCATTTTACCTCATCTCCTGCAATGGGGGAACATTACAGGGTAACACCATGCAACTGCTGTTGGCATGGCAGTTTCCAGGCCAACTTACCACTGCTCCCAGCTAATTGCTTGCTTCCAAAATGGTTTAGTGTTGGGAGCAATGCTACATAATTCTAGGGAAAAATCATTTGAGTAGGCCTAGTTCTCCAGCCTACAGGCCAGCTATAACACTCCAAGACATAATTCCATTTTGGCCTCAGGTCACAAGGGAGATCTCAATGATCCCATGATGCTGTAATGCTCCAGGACAAGACCACACCTGTGGGAGACACCCTGGGAGGAACTAAATCTTCATCTGTGTAGTTCCTGGGAGGAACTAAATCTTCATCTGCATAGTTCCTCATTGTTCTTAGATTTCTGCCTCCCCCACCCAGTCTTTTGTTACACTTTGTTCATCCCAATGCGATCCTGAAATCTACATTATTCATTTGTTACATTTGTTTCTTCGGATGTACTAAATAAAAGGTGCTGCAAGCTAGGGCTTCTTGTCTTTGCCACCCAGAGCAGCACTGATCAGACCCAAAGCTCAGCTTCTTCTCAGTCTCCTTTGTCTACCTTTCCTGTAATTCACCATGTGCTGCCATGGCTCTCAGGAGACTAGGACTTACTCCAGAGGTTCTGGTAACGTCCCCTTCCCCTGTTCCCTACAGCTTAGAACCACTCACAGGAAAAAAGAGAATGCGTTTGATGCATCTTACCACATTTCCAGCCACGGGGGAGGAAACTCGCCTGGTACAATTACACTCCTATAGTGGAGGTGGATTTGGGCCAGCAGATGGCCACACCCAGACAATGGGATGCTTCCAAAATTTCTCAGAACCAATCATAGGAGAAAAGAGATTGTGTTCCATTCACCTTACCACATCTCCTGCCATATGGGAATATTTTGGGATGGCACTACCCCTTACATATGTGGAGCTGGCTATCAGGCTTCTGTAAGGCTGTTCCAAGCAAATGGGATGCTTCTGAAATGGCTCAGAAAGTTTTCGCAGAAAAAGACAGATTACCTATATTCTGCCAGAACACATTTCCAGCCACGGGGGAGGATTCTGTCCTGCCACAACTACACTCCAGTAGTGGAGGTGGCTTCAGGGCCACTCAATGGCATCTCCCAGCAAATTGGATGCCTCTGAAATTGCTCAGCACTGCTCAAAGTAAAGATGAGAATTTGTGCGATCCAAATACCTACATCTCCTGCTACAGGGGAATATTTTGGGATGGCACAATGCTGCTCCCATGGAGGAGGTGGCATGGTAGCCACTGTTCAGCTGCTCCCAGCTAATGGGATGCTTCCAAAATGGATCAGAAAAAAATCACATGAAAAAAGCCATTGCATTCAATCTGCCATATCACATCTCCTGCCACATTGAGAATTGTGGCCTGGCACAACCCAGCTCCCATAGTGGAGGCAGATTCTGTTCCATCTTATGGAATTTCAAATCTAATCGGGTGCTTCTGTAATGGCTCAGAACCATTCAGAGGAATATGGTGAATGTGTTCCATCCAATTTCCCTCATCTGATGCAATGGGGGAATATTACAGGATTGGACAATTCCACTCCCATAGGGGTGGTGGTTTCCTGGCCACTGTACCACCATTCACAGCCAATGGAATGCTTACAGTATGGCTCAGAACCAATCACAAAAAAAGGAGATTGTGTTTCATCCAACTTATCACATCTTCTGAAATGGGGTAACATTTTGGGATTGCACTATCCCACTCCAGAAAAGGAGGCAGAGTCCTGGCCAATGTATGGCTTCTCCCAGCCAATGAGATGCTTCTGAAATGGCTCAGAACCAATCACAGGAAAAAAGACATTGCATTTCATCCACCTTACCACATCTCCTGCCACAGAGGAATATTTTGGGATGGCACTACCCTACTCCAGAAGTGGAGGCAGCATTCAGGCCACTGTATGGCAATTCCAAGCAAATTTTATGCTTATGAAATGGCTCAGAAACAATCACACAATAAAAGAGATTACCCGTAATTTTCCAGAACACATCTCCAGCCACGGGTGAGGATTCTGGCCTGGCACAACCCCACTCCAGTAGTGGAGGAGGTTTCTGGGCTACTCTACGGCCTCTCCCAGCAAATTGGATGCCTCTGAAATTGCTCAGAACTGCTCAAAGGAATGAAGAGCATGTGTGCGATCCACCTTACCACATCTCCTACCACCGGGAAATATTTTGGGATGGCACAATGCTGTGCACATAGAGCAGGCCAAATCCTAGCCATGCTATGGCTGCTCCCAGCTAATGGGATGCTTCCAAAATGGATCAGGAAACATCACACGAAAAAAGCCACTGCCTTCCATCTGCCATAATACATCTCCTACCATGTTGAGGATTCTGGCCTGGCACCAGGCAGCTCCAATAATGGAGGTGGATTCCCAGCCACCATACTGCCCTTCAAATCTAATGGGGTGCTATTGAAATGGCTCAGAAACATGCACAGGAATAAAGAGAAGGCATTCCATCCATTTTTCCTCATCTCCTGCAATGAGGGAATATTGCAGGATAACAAAATTCCACTGCTGTAGACATGGGGGATTCCGGGCAAATGTACCACTGCTGCTAGCTAACTGCTTGCTTCCCAAACCTCTAAGAACCACTCACAGGAAAAGGAGAATGAATTTGATGCACCTTACCACATTTCCTGCCATGGGGGAGGATCCTGGCCTTTCACAACCCTGCTCCTATAGTGGAAGTGGATTTGGGTCACCAGATGGCCGATCCCAGCTAATTGGATGCTTCCAAAATGGCTCAGAATCAATAACAGGAAAAAAGAAATTCCATTCCAAACACCTTACCACATGTCCTGCCAAGCGTGAATATTTTGGGATGGCACTACTCCACTCCAGAAATTTAGGCAGATTTCAGGCCACTGTAAAGCTGTTCCAAGCAAAGAGGATCCTTATGAAATGGCTCAGAAATAATCCCAGAAAAAAGAGATTACCTAGAATTTGCCAGAACACATCTCTAGCCACGGGGGAGGATTCTGGCCTGGCACAACCCCACTCCAGTGGTGGAGGCAGATTCTGGGCTAGTCTAAGGCCTCTCCCAGCAAATTAGATGCCTCTGAAATGGATCAGAACTGCTCAAAAGAAAGATGAGAATGTGTGTGATCCTTCTAACATCATCTCCTGCCATGGGGGATTATTTTGGGATGGCACAATGCCTCGCCCATAGAGGAGGCCATATCCTAGACACTCTATGGCTGCTCCCAGCTAGTGGGATGCTTCTGAAATGGCTCAGAAGCAATCACAGGAAAAAAGAGATTGCATTGCATCCACCTTACCACATCTCCTGCTTCAGGCGAATATTTTTGGGATGGCACTAACCCACTCCAGAATTGGATGGGGCTTTCAGACCACTGTAAGGTAGTTCCAAGCAAATGGGGTGTTTCTGAAATGGCTCAGAAACGGTCACAGAAAAAAAGAGATTACTTATGATCTGCGATAACACATCTCCAGCCACGGGGGAGGATTCTGCCCTAGCACAACCCTACTCTGGTAGTGGATGCGGATTCCAGTCCACTGTACAGCCACTCCCAGAAAACTAGATGCCTTTGAAATGTCTCAGAACCATTCACATGAAAGAAGAGAATGCATTCCATCCACCTTTCCAAGTCTCCTGCCACCATGGAATATTTTAGGATGGCACAATGCCACTCCCATGGAGGAGGTGGCATGCTAGCCACTGTTCAGCTGCTCCCAGCTAATGGGATGCTTCCAAAATGGATCAGAAAAAATCACATGAAAAAAGCCATTGTGTTTGAGCTGCCATAACATATCTCCTGCCACATTGAGCATTCTGGCCTGGCACCTGGAATCTCCCACACTGGAGGCAGCCTCTGGGCCAACATACAGCACTTCAAATCTAATGGGATGCTTCCAAAATGGTTCAGAACCAATCACATGAAAAAAGAGATTGCATTCCATCAACATTACTACATCTCCTGCCACAGGGGTATATTTTGGGATGACACTACTCCACTCCAGAACTGGAGGCACATTCCAGGCAACTGTATGGATGTTTGCACCTAATGGGATGCTTCCAAAATGGCTCAGAAACAATCACAGAAAAAAAGAGATTATTAATGGTCTGCCATAACATATTGCCAGCCACGGGGGAGGATTCTGGCTACCTCATGGCAGACCCTTTTAATGCTCTGCACCTTTCTGTGTCTCAATTTGGTCTGTGAAAGCTGGGGTGATCGGAGAATCACCATCAGAGCATGTATTTGGGACCAAGAGAGCTGAGAGTTAGAAGCACCTGCTCCAGGCCAGGGTCTATCAGGGTCAGTGACCCAGGGCTATGGAACCTCCCCTCTACCATGAAGAAGCTCTCTGTGCCTCACTTAACTGATTACTCAGGCAATGTAATTTCCTCATTTTTGAATCAATCCCAACTCTGTAGTTCCCTACCTAAATATAGTTAGAGTGGGGACTCCCCATCAGAGTAGAGTGAGAGGCCCTGGTCCCACTGAGATATCTAGGTAGGAGATGGCAGGATTAATTCATGAACACATGTAAATGAAACACCTATTTTGTGCAGGCATGTTTCCAGTCACTTAGCAACTAATTTAGGGAGAAAAACAGGCAAAACACTCAGCCTTTTCCTGCCTCCATTCTCATCAGAGAAGGAGACAGTCCCCCTAGACTGCCTGGCAGGTGGGGGCTACAAGAGGATGTGGAGGCCACCCTCTCCTGACCTCTATGCCTGAATTCCTTCACCCCAACTGTGAGGAGGATGAGGAAATCAAGAAGTGAATGGGCTTAGAGCCAAGACAGAAGGCTTCTGTCTCCAGAGTAGGGGACATTTGAGGAACTGAGTTTGAGGGGGGCTGGGAAATCCCAGATTCCAAAGTGTTGTTGACTGCTAGTAGAGGGATGGGGGCTAGGGCTTTGCCTTCAGGAGGAGGAAGACAGGCAAGCAGGCAGCAAAGGGGCTGCTGGGGGCTGTGAAGAGCAGGTCCCTGTGAAGATAGACTCTCTACCGCAGACCATCCCAGTCAGACATGCACACATGATTCTGTATGAAGGCTGTAGAGAAGCATTGAGAAGCATACTGCTCACATGAGCCTCATATATTTGTGCAGTGCCCATCTGGATGTGGGGTGGACACTACCCTGAAGAGTTCTGTCCAATCCCAGACCTGGCCAGACTAACTAGCTATTTCCTACATCCTGATCAGCATGCTGGGCTGACTTCTCCACAAATGTACACATTCCTGACCCAGCTGGAGAACCTAGTGACTAGTGAGGCCAAGCCTGAGGATGAGGAGGCCTGGGAGGTGTGTCTGAGGGCATGGGTTGAGTGGTCTTGGCTGAGAGTCACTGGGTAGGAGCTCTGAACACTGGATTCTCATCCACTGAGTGAGAACAAACTCCTCAACTGGCAACAGGTGTTCCAACCAAGGTGTACCGGCAGTGATTGGATTCAGCAGAGGCAAAATCTCAACCCATTCCAATCCTATCAACACATCTTCCAGCAGTGATGGATCTCTAGTCACTGATTATCCTTTCACTGAGATGCAGTCACCTCCCAGTGTGGTAGCAGAACCTGTTTCCAAAATCACCAGAAACCACCCGACTCAGAAGTAGTACAGCCTGATGCCATTCCACCTCTGACAGCATATCTTCTGGCTGCTGTGATCTCTAGCCAGCTGAGTCTCCACCCACTGAGATAGAACCACCTCCCAGAGTGGCAGCATGCATTTCATCCAAAGTAGTACATCAGCAAGCTGACACAAGAGAAGTTGAGCCTGACTCCATTCCACCTCAAGCACATCTTCCAATGAAGTTGATCTCTCCCTACCAGATTTTCTGTTCACCAAGATAACTTCACCTCCCTCTGTGATAATGCACCCTCTTTGCAAGGAAAAGGAGGGGGTCAGATAATAGATGTTAACTCACACCTCATTCCACCTCTGGCAGCATATCCTCTGACTGCTGGGTCTCATTTCTATTCTTTCTCAGTCAGAAGATCCTGTCTAGTTACATATCTTATACTCCACTTTACTTTCCTGCTTTCTCTCTTGGTCTCTCCTCAACTCCTTTCTCCCTCCAGGTACACAGGGATGGAATCAAGATACCCCTGTCAGAAGAGCTCAATTCCCAGTGGATCATCAGGGTCAAACACACCAGCAGTTATAGTCAGTAATATAGGATTTAGAATGCATGAACAGATGTACCATGCAAATTCTCGAAGGGACTGAGGGGCCTGCTAAGGTGGGGATGGGAAGGGACAAGCAGGTGGAGAGGGCTCAGGGGAGGACTGTTTTTGACAGAACTCATAGCTGCCTTGAGCAGCAAGAGGGTGAGTGAGGAAGGGAGAGAATCCACATGGTCAGTGGAGATTGAAGGATGGCCTGAGGAGACCCAGAGCAAGAGACCCCAGGTGAGGAGACCTCAGATGATTTAACTGGAGTCAACAAATCCAGGAATCAAGCAAGGAGCTGTGCAGTGTCCACAGATCCCACAGGCATGAGGGTGTAGGCAGACATGGCATTGTGCCATACAAACCAGTGTACACTCACCTGAGTGGCCTTGGCTCAGAGGCTCTGTGTCCAGGTCACAGTGAAGATGAGACAGTTGGAGTAGAGTTCAAAGTGTCCATGGGCTTCCAACACCCTTTGCTGCTCCACCCTCCTTCCATGCAACAGAATCTCCTGA